GCCGGTTCTGATCCAGACTTGGTTACTGTAGCTCCAGAGTGAGAGGGCAGTGTTTCTATGAGGTTATTCCAACACTCATCAGGAGTTACCAATGCCAGTTTGAAAGGTTTTCTGAAAACCAATACTCCAGTAAAGTAATAATCAGGGCACATCTAGGTGGCATTTTAGTACCGACAGACCCTCTCCCTGCCCCTGGCGTCTACAGTATCTGTAAACGTATTATCAGCCAGGCCATTATTCATTTTGCATCCTCTACGTGAACGTGTGACCCTCCAGCTCCTTGCTGTGTCTCTGTGCAGCAGTAAATGGACAGCCAGCGGGTCTCCCCAGGTGTGGGGATGAGTGCGTGTCTGTGTTTTCGCCGGCAGCAATATGCCGATCCAGCCCCTGCTGTTGTCTTTTTCAGAAAGAGGCGCAGGATAAGAAGAAAGCAGCGCAGGATCAGCTGCAGGAGTTCAAGGGTGAGGCTCTGGGTCCGAGGGGGGCGACTGAGTCAGGGGTACAGGAACGCAGGGGGTGCTCCAGCACAAGCTCAGACAGTAGGAGCTGAGTCTGTCCGTCTCTTACGGGTTTTATCAGTTAGTAAATTAATTAATTGGCCCTGACCTCATGTTGTACCACAACAGAGCATGCAGACACTGGAGGGGATGGAGCTGCCTTGGAGTTGTCTTCTTATTCCTCCAGGACACTAGAGGGTGTCCTGTGTTACTGGATAGTGTCTGCTGAGCCCCGCTGATGAGCCCCGATGAAGGGGGGTGGAACAGGCTGCTACCGTTGGCTTTAGACACGCAAAGGGCCGGATCAGAATGTGTGAATCAGTTCTGCCTCCTGTGGTTCTGTCATGCGACAAGAGCAGTGACCTAATGAATATAACAATTTAAGCCCTGAGCCACGCCTCTGCTGGCTATGCTCACAGAGTTTTTACAGAGGTTTTAAGGGGACATCATTCCTGGTTGGAAGTGCCTCCCAGGAGGTCTGGTGGTACTAAGAGGGGGTAGCTTGACCCTGTAAGGGGACCCTTGTAAGACATCTGCCTGCTGTGGCCCTGTGGCCCTGCCACTGGAGGCCACTGAGATGGGTTTAGGTATAGTCCTTCCTGCATAAATATCCTCACCTGCGTGCACCACCAGCGTCTGTCTGCTTGAGGGCTGATTTCTCACACGTCTGGATTTTGGGATGTTTTGTACTTCTCAGCAGACATTGCTTTTCAGCAAAATATATACTGTTCATCCTTCCACTCACCCACTCACTCATCCATCCACTCACTTATTCTTTCACTCACCCATCCACTCACCATGAATTCCCTTATTCAACCATTCACCTACCCATCTATTCACTCATTCATCCAGTCAACCACCCATTCACTTACCCATCTATTCACTCATTCATCCACTCAACCATCCATTCACTCATTCATCCACTTATTCATTCACTCATCCACTCACCATGCATTCCCTTATTCAACCATTCACCTACCCATCTATTAATTCATTCATTTAACCATCAACCATTCACTTACCCATCTATTCACTCATCCACTCAACCAATCATTCACTCATTCATCCACTTATTCGTTCACTCATCCACTCACCATGCATTCCCTTAGTCAACCATTCACCTACCCATCTATTCACTCATCCACTCAACCATCCACTCACCCATTCATCCACTTATTCGTTCGCCCGTCCACTCGCTTACTCACCACTCACCCGCTCGCCCCGCCGCCCCCCCCATGCGCCCCTGCGCCCCGCCGCCGCGGTGCCCCGCCGTCACGCTCTGCCTGCCCCTGCGCCC